GAAAAGCTGGATCGGCACAGACCAGCAACGCTCGCTGTTGAAGAAGTTTTGGAAGCCTTCGCCGAGAGAATCTGCCATGAAAACTCTGGTGTTACCCTTCAAGCGTTGACAGAATTGATACCATACCTTCAGGAAAACCAAGCGGCACTTCATACATCTGAGATTAGTCTACAGTCAGATATTGGCGTTGTCACACTTATGCGGTCGCTTCTGGATTGTGCAAGTAAATACAGCGGCTTTCCAGGAGACATAGCGCGCCTATGCACAGAAGCAATGGGCTTGATAGGCTGCCTGGACCCCAGTAAGATCGAGACTGTTAGAGAACAACGATCAATAGTCATATTGAACAATTTTGCGACGAATGAAGAAACTACGGACTTCGTTCTGTTTCTTCTGGAAGAGGCCCTGGTACCAGCATTCTTATCTACGACTGATGTCAAGTTCCAGGGATTCTTGTCTTTTGCTATGCAGGAACTCATGGGTAGGTGCGACATCAAAGCTGCATGTGCCATGGAAAACTCGGGGATGAAAGGTGGAAACGATATCTATCGAAAATGGGTTGCAATGCCGGAAACTGTTCGGGAAGTGGTTGCACCCTTTCTAGCCTCCCGGTATGTCGTTGCTCCAATGCCACACACCGAGATCGAGTATCCTCTCTTTCGTCCTGGCAGACCTTATCCGAGTTGGCTCAGGGTTTACGTTCTGGACCTTCTACGTAAGGGGCAGACGCCATTTGCCGATTTGATATTTGAGCCTCTGGCGCGTGTCATTCGGGTTAAAGATCTCTCTATTGCAGAATTCATCCTTCCCTATATAGTCCTGCATACTCTTTTAGGGTCTCGGACTACACAACAAGAAAGGGACGATATTCTCGGGGAACTTCTTGCTATCCTGAAATATCAGCCTGCTGAGACGGCATCATATCAAGAGAAGGAGGATATGCGGCGATACTGTCATGTAGGTTTCAAAACGCCTCACTCGTGTGACGAGAACTAACTGGTTATTAGCTTGTATTTCGCGTTGTAGACTATGCAATGAGATGGATGCAAACTCGGCGAGCAGCTGGTCGCCTCACTGAAACCGACAGGGAGAGACTAGCTCAAGTGCAGGAGGCTCTCGATCTGATCCCAGCCGAGCTCATAGCACAAAGAGCTGTCGATTGTAATGAATACGCACGTGCTCTTTTTCATTTGGAGCAACATGCCCACAAAATGGAACAGAGGAAGAAAGAACCAGGGGAACGTGCCCGTCTCTTACAAAAGCTTCAGGACATTTATGCCAATGTCGATGAGCCTGATGGCCTTGATGGAATTTCAGCTCATTTACAAGTTCTTGACATCAACCAACAGATTCTGAGTCATCGCAAAGCAGGCAGGTGGACTGCTGTTCAGAACTGGTACGAGATGCAACTCGCTGAGAACCCTGACAACACGGATATCCAGATCGACTTGCTTCATTGCCTGAAGCAGGCTGGCCAACACGGTAGGTTACTTCAGCCTTGTGTCCCGACACGAGCTAATTATTGACAGAGGGATTGTTGAATCACATCGAGGGTATGCACACAGATGCATCAACGGACAACAAGATCATGCCTTATGCAGTAGAGGCGGCATGGGTTACAGGAAGGTGGGAGAGCCTTACCAAATTCATTCAACGGTTTCGCGGCGACCCTATTGAAGACTTCAACATCTCGATCGCGACTCTTTTCGAAAAGCTGAGGGCCAAAGACAAGCCTAAAGAGCTCATTAAGATAATGAAGGATATAAGAGTCAAAATTTCATCATCGATGAACGCCGCATCCACCTCATCGCTACAGGCCTGTCATGACCTCCTTCTTAAGTCACATGTTCTTACGGATGTGGAAATCATAATAGGAACAAAAGCGGGTGACGAAGTCGCCCGCCAAACGACAGCAGCCCTCCTAGAAAGGAGACTTGAAATTATAGGTGCTTATATGAACGACAAGCAATATCTTCTTGGTATTCGCCGTGCCACCATGGAGTTGACTAGGTAAGATACATCGTACAAGAGCTATCGAAGGCCCATATACTTACCAACACAGACCTACATTCACTGACCTAGACATTTCCGGACTATGGCTCTCGAGTGCACGCCTTGCACGGAAGTCGAACTCGCTTCACCAGTCTTTTAACGCTATTCTTCACGCTTCGAAGCTGGGCGATGATGCGGCTACCATTGAGAATGCCAAGCTTCTTTGGAGAGAAAATCAGCACCGAAAGGCAATACAGGTTCTGCAGGGAGCAATTAAGAGCAACAAGTTCATGACACAAACAGGGATAGCAACCAGCACAAGTTCAAGCAAGTTGAGCCCACAACAGAAGCTCTTGACGGCTAGGGCGCAGCTGCTACTTGCCAAATGGCTTGATAGCGCCGGGCAGACGCACGCCGGTGCATTGCGTGAAAAGTATCAGCAGCCACCCAAGACCTTCTCGACTTGGGAAAAGGGGCATTATTATCTTGGCCGTCATTACAAGAAGATCCTTGAAGCTGAAAAGCCGCTCAAAGCCGATGACCAGAGCGATAACTACATCACCGGTGAAGTCGCTAGACTCGTCATCGAGAACTATGTCCGTTCACTGAACTCGGGCACCAAATATCTTTACCAGACTCTTCCACGAATTTTGACTCTCTGGCTTGACCTTGGTGCCCAAGTAGACAAAGCACCAGAAGGGAAAGCATCACTTTCTCGTGAGCTTCACCGAAGACGTGTTGAGCAACTCAATCTTTTGCACTCTTTTCTTGACAAATACATCCATAGGCTGCCGGCGTACATCTTTTATACAGCTTTGCCACAGATTGTTGCACGCATCGCCCACCCCAACTCGAACGTTTTTGACCGGCTGACACACATCATTGCCAAGGTCGTGGAAGCTCATCCTCGGCAAGCCCTTTGGAGCCTTATTGGCATCATGACCACAAGACAAGTGTCGGAACGAAAGGCACGGGGCACTCAGATCCTTCAGACACTCAGGAACATATCGAAGAAAGTTGAGGGCTCTACGACCGATTTCAAACACCTGCTCAGGATGGGAGAGAAATTAGCCGAACAGCTGCTTCTTGCATGCCAAAACGGAGACTTCCGGGGCAACAAGACTGTTCATGCCAGCCTGGGTAAAGATCTTCGATTCAATCATAAATGTACTCCATGTCCGTTGGTCGTGCCTGTCGAGAGCTCTTTGACGGCAACGTTACCGGCTGTATCAGAGTATGTTAAAAAGCACAAGGCATTTTCTAGAGATGTTGTCACGATTGACTCCTTTCTTGATGATGTGCTCGTCCTGAGCTCGCTGGCTAAGCCAAGACGGCTGACAGCACGAGGGAGTGATGGGAAAAGCTACATGCTTCTGATCAAACCCAAGGACGACTTGCGAACTGACCAGCGTCTTATGGAATTCAATGGATTGATCAATCGGTCGTTGAAACGAGATGCGGAATCCAGCCGGAGACAGCTTTACATTCGAACATATGCTGTAACGCCACTCAATGAAGAGTGCGGCATCATTGAATGGGTTCCAGGAATCAAAACTATGCGAGACATTCTCATCAACCTTTATGCTTCCCGGAAGATTTACCCCGACTACACCGTTCTTAAGCAACTCATGGATGAAGCATGTTTATCAGACGGCAAAACCAGGATATTTACTGATGAGGTCCTGGGGAGATTTCCTCCGGTACTTCAGCTCTGGTTCACGCAACAGTTCCCTAGCCCTTCAGCGTGGTTTGCTGCGCGATTGAGATACACACGGTCTTGTGCTGTTATGTCCATGGTAGGCACCATCCTAGGCCTCGGCGATAGACATGGCGAGAACGTGAATTTGGAGGAGGGCAATGGTGGAGTATTTCATGTCGATTTCAATTGTCTCTTTGACAAGGGCCTGACATTTGCCAAACCTGAAAGAGTGCCGTTCCGACTTACCCACAACATGGTGGCTGCGATGGGTATATATGGTTACGAAGGGCCATTTCGCAAGTCTTGCGAGCTGACTCTGGGCATTCTTCGTCAGCAAGAGGAGACTCTGATGACAATCCTAGAGGCGTTCATCTACGATCCAACGTTGGATCTACAAAAGGAAAAACGGGCACATCGGCGAGGAGATGTGGGCGTCAAGCTGCAGCCTCAAAGCGTTGTAGACAGTATCAAACGCAAAGTCAGGGGATTACTTCCAACTGAAAGCATTCCTCTGGGTGTTGAAGGCCAGGTGGAGGAATTGATCAAACAAGCGGTTGATCCAAGAAATTTGGCTGCAATGTATATAGGCTGGTGTCCGTTCCTGTAACTTAGAACAAAGAGAGAAACACGTGAAGCAGCTTGTAACTGGTGAAAAGAGGAAGAAAAGCTTAGAATTAGTTCGCGCCTATAACAATCGACAGTCATTCACAAGATGAAAAAGAAAAAAATCTCAGGACATTCTCTATTTGCTACCAAATTCCTTTATTTCATTTTCTTTTTTTACCTTATTTAGCAGCGTGCGTAACTGCCTTATTGGTTGTAACCTTCCACAGGCAAGGTAGGTACTGAGGTATCGTTTCAGGCGGAAATGGAATCCGGGGAGGAAGGGGGCCATGTCACCACTCCTGCATACCCGCTGGGGACGCGTTGTTCGCGCGCACCGCACCCTACCATAAGGTACCTGCCTACTTACCTTGCCATACTACCATACATCCCCAACGCTGAGCTGGCAGCACTTCCCACCTTCATTCACTCATCTCACCTTATCGCACTTTTTCTGCTTTGATTTAATTCACAGAGCACCAGAAGGGGCAGAAGCTCGCGTATATAATCTCTCGTCCTATTTCCGAAAAAGAGATTTATTCTTCTTGCATCAGTCTTTCCAACAGCCATTTTCTTTTCCCCACTTCCGTGCCAACGCGCAACAAGCTATCCAAAGCCAAAGCATCGTTTGCATTCTTCATCTTTCTCATTCTACCACTCTATTCGAAACTCGAACTTTTGTACCATACCTTCTACTGCCGCCAAGATGGGTGAATATCGTATCGGTGAGGCCCTAAAATATCCCCATTCCTCATGATCGCGTTACGCTGCAGCCCCTCGGTTGTCTGCTCTGTTGAGCAGTTCGCTCACATTGTATTAGAGTTATCCCCCAACAACCGCGCCACGTGCAAGGACACTGAGTGCAAGAAGAACGGTGACAAAGTCACCAAAGGTACCCTGCGGTTTGGTTCCTATGTCACCATCAAGGAGCATGGAAGCTGGTCATGGAAACATTGGTAAGTATCTGCAGCTCATCAGCCATACTGATAGTAGATCGCTGATACCAAGGTACCTATCAGGGGATGCGTCTCTGGTCAACAGCTAGAGAATGTCCGTGAACTGTGCCAGCAAGGCGATGGCTCCTTCGATTGTGACCTCATCGATGGTTACGATGAGCTTGAGTGAGTTTTGGCATCCTGTTTCTATTCATATTATTCTGACATTGATAGCGAACACCCTGACGTGCAAGAGAAGGTCCGCCGCTGTATCAACCAGGGCTTCATTGACCCTGAGGATTTCAAAGGGGTATGTATAGAGATATTCACCACAGGTTACAGTGATTGACATCATTCAGGACCCAGAGAAGAACAAGCTTGGTGAGAAGGGTATTCACTTGACTGCAGCACAGAAGAAGAGCAAGGCTGCCGCTGAGGCTGTGAGTCCTGAGCGTGAATACGCACTGTTGATGATTCTAACACCTTTCAGACCACCACAGGCGATGGAGAGAAGGCCAAGCCCAAAGGCAAGCGTGGACGCAAGAAGGCCGCTGATGATGAAGAGGATGAGGACGAGCCACAGCCCAAGAAGGCTCGAACATCCAAGACTGCCAAGGCGGATGAGGAGGAGAAGCCCGCTGCTAAGCCGGCCCGTGGCCGCAAAGCTGCCAAGGTCAAGGATGAGAGTGAGGATGAGACTGCTGTATCTGCTCCTGCTCCTGCTAAGAGAGGACGCAGAACTTCAGCTCAGAATCCAAAGGATGAATCTGATGCTGAGGAGAAACCGGTTCCTGTCAAAAAGGGACCAAAGGCAGCCCCTAAGAAGGCGGCTACCCCTGAGGAGGAAGACGTTGCGGCTGGGGAAGAGGAACAAGAGAAGGCCGTGCCGAGGACCAGAGCTCGCCGCGGACGTTCCAGCAAAGCTTGATTGACGCTTTCATTTCCGACACCGGGTACAGCATGAGTACCTAAACTGTGTAGATTGCACAGAAGCTTGTGATGTTTTTCTTTGCCGTCATTGTTGAGATTCTGGGATCGGGTCACTGAAGGATGGGTAACACTTTGTTGAAAAGTCTTTGAGATTACCAGTGGGCAAGGATCATTTTGTGGAAGTGGATGATTTAGCTATGCATACACGATAACCAGGGCAAGCAATAATTGAGTCGTTCTATCAGTGAGGGTCCGTGACGTGTGCGGCTCTGACAAAGATGTGGTCCCAATGCCCAAGTAGATTCTGTTAAACCAATCATGGACCTTGAACTCAACAGAATCAGTGGCTGAAGTCAGCAGGCATGTATAAGCTACCAGTAGTGCATTTAGTAGATTGCAACTCCGCCAACTTCATATTCACATCAAACTAAAATAGCGACTGTGGATGGGCCATGATGCTGCCCAGGTGCCAGGCTTCTTTGACTAAGATCCACAATGGTAACAGTCGACTGTGTGGGCTGTCCAGCGGATGGATAGTCTCATGCAGGTCCCATCAAGGAGCATTTGCTCAGCTGCCGTCAGAATAAGACATGGGCTGGCTAGGCCTAGGCTGGCTTGTGTTTGTTCCCCACACACAGCGTGTTGCATCTGCGGAGAGCGAGGGGCATAGGGGCATAACAGCATCCACTGAATCCATCGGGATGACGTTACTCGGAATGACGTCGTCGATGCATCACACATCACGATGCTGAATCACTGTCGACTACAGCGGGGTCCCAGCACGATGGGATATAAATAAAAGTTCTCTGCGCTCAACAGAGATTCGCCTTCTTCATCCTCAAGCATCAACAACAGCCAACCCCCAAGACACCTCAAACACTTCAAACACTTCAAACACTTCATCACAAAGACATATCACAATGCCTCGCAACGGAGACGGTTCTTCTGACAACGGCCCTTTTGAGGCTGCCGACCACGACATCGCCCACGGCGTTGGCAAGCCCGACGTAAGTTCATTCATCCATCCAAATCATCACATCTTTGACTTTGTTTGTTTGGCTGACTAACCTCCTCACTCCAGTCTGACCGCGTCGACCGCGCTGACAAGACCGCCGACCTCCCCGAGGGCAAGGACGAGCATGGCCAGGGTCTCCAGGACGCACCTGCCAGCGGAGGCCAGAGCCAAGGCATCAAGCAGGGCAAGGACGTTGGACAGGGCAACTAGAAGCAAAGATCTTGACATCTGAGAGGGAATGAGAGAACAGAGGATGAAAGATACCTAACCTAACCTAATGACTGCATGGGATAGTGAGTCAACAACGACCACAACGAATTGAACATAAAGAAATGAATCACAACCAGTGTGTGCGAGCTCCATGCTATTGATGCTGTGATTGACGTGGGCAGATATGTGAACTGGCTGAGTCTGTAAGTCGTCCCCCCGCGCGATGGTGCTCTCCAGATACAAACTAAGGCTGGTCCAGGATCAAAGCTCATGACCAAAGGTCAGTGTGGTCAATTGGTAGCAATGCGGACCTTGAAAGGTCTTCGCGAGTGTGAACAAACTTTGACAATTACACATCAACAATTCCAATGGGTCGATCGTCCAAGTTTTTGTCGCCAGCCAGGGCCGTTCGGGATCATAGCAATGCTCTCGGCCAATTGAGTTTCGGATGTACTCCCAGATAAGCCTAACCCAACATTGATCTGCAAGACATCGAGATCTGAGAGATATCCAGCGGGGAACTTTGTTTTCGACCACGGTCCCACGATATATTTTACAAAAACACACCAGCCTGCAACAACAAAACACGAGTGGGTCTTCAGATTCACATCATCGGTCTGGTGGTCTAGTGGTATGATTCTCGCTTAGGGAAAACCCTACAGCAAAGCTTGCGAGAGGTCCCGGGTTCAATCCCCGGCCAGACCCTTAACTTTTGGTGTTATGTTCCTGGTGGATTTTGCTTTTGTGTAGCCATGTGCGTCGTTGTTGCTACTGATACAATGGCCGTCTTCTTTTCGATACAGTAGTTCTTGAGAACAAGGCACAGTGTTTTGGGCTTTGTATCCAAGTCTCTGCTTATGCTTTGATGTCAGTCAACCTTAACCAAATCATAACCTTATGCAGCCCTCTCTTGAAGACCACTAATGCTTCAGGTGCAGGTTACATGTGGGATACTAAGCTACCTTACCTATTTTGAATCTGTCGCGTGATAGATTGCCTATAAAATGGTGGTGAAGTTGACCGTTCGTTCCCTTTACGGATTAGAGTAGCTGCTCACTCACTGTGTGATTCGTTGAGCTTAAATCAGCCTTATTTCATAATCCCAGTGCAGGGAAACGATGCCGTGTGGTAGACTACGGGAATAAAGGGATATATCAGATAATTACCCAAGAGAAGGTTTTGTGCATTGACTTTCATGTAGCCCAAACTCAGTCTACCTCTTGTCCTCACGACACAAGTAACAACAGTCCATAGTGATTACCACTTCACCGTCTTGATTCATGACCACTCCTCATTACTATCAGTCTCCTCAGTGGGATCGTCGCGTGAACGTGTATCTCTTTTTTCTTTTGCTCCCATCCCCCTTGTTCTTCTCTTTCTTCTTGTCTTCTGTGTTGTTGTTGTTGTTTCTGGTGTATCTCTTCGACATGCCATGTGTTGAGGATGAGGTCTTGCTGTTGCCAACGAGTTCAGGCATGAGTCGTATCCAATCTTGAATTCTTCTCTCGGCATCATTCTTGCATCGCTGCTCTTTTGCGCTATAGTAGATCATATCCTCGACTGACAATACCTCCTGTTTGCCATACAAGACACGCGGTTCTCTCATATAACTGTGGTAGGTGTTGGATTGATAGTGAGCGTCGAAAGGGCCAGGCGGTCCTTGTCCTCCCCCGTGGCCATGTGAGTGTGTACCGTCAGGCTATATACACGATCAGTAAGTGTTCACAAGGTATCGAATACTTAACTTTTAACTTACAACACTGGCATTGTCCTGGGGTCTGCAGAAATATCCAACTGGCTGCGCGTTGAGCCTCGGAGCAGGCTGGCAATCACAGTCGCAGGTACAACATGGACCGCCTGGATCACAACTCCAATCAGACAATGATCTCGAGCTTGTAGTCTCCCAACAGATATCAGGTCTGTTCAAATTACGGCCAGTTCTGAATGCTTGTTCTGGGTAGTTTTCGTAAAACTGGTTTTGTGTTGTGCTAATAAGATATGGCATTCTGACCCAACCGTCGATGTCTGCAACTCCCTGGGCCATGTTGAGACGGATGATGTCCTCAGTACCGTAGAGCATGTAGCGGAAGAAATAGAGCGAGAAAAGGAAGCTAACTTAATAAAAGCATTTACAGAAATGAATCAAATTTGACATCATGCTCTAAGTACATATCTTCTATACTTCCAACACAATATTAAGAACAAGCACATATGCTGTACAATGATAAACATGCTTCTTAGATCAAAGAGCCTTGCCAAAACCCCTTGTTGGCGTAAAATCACATGACAAGTACTACGGTAGACTGCCAGAAACTTGCTGCGCTTGGTGTAGCTACCCTTATGTGTTTCAATAAGGCTTCCTGATCTCTAAACAAAGAAGCAAAAATGCTTATCCGCCGCTGATACCTTCTGTACAACAATGCCCCATGCCCTCAAGTGAAAGGAAAACGATAGCCAGCCCGAATATGTACCAAACGCCTGAGATACTGCGCCATAAAATGCTGCATGTGGAAGGTGATACAACGACATTTGTTTGTTGCTCGACAAGTCGACCTAACGCAACTTCAAGTCAACTTACAATAGTTTGAAGCCTTTTGGTGTTTGCCTAATTGGAAATTCCCGACATGGTTTGACTCCCTGGTGCGCTCGTTGAAAATTTATGATGTACTGGAGTTGGGTGCCCCTTCGCGGAGATTTCTCCGTAACTCAGCAAGGTCATCCATGCCCTCAAGACTTCCTTTGCGGCCCCAGTTCTTGGGCTTCCTTTTGAGGAATGCGCCAACTGCTCCGAGATAACCCTCATGACGGAGGAAGTAAGCCTGCTTCTCCCCCTTACTCCAGAACTTGATGGCATAGCTTAGTGTGTTAATGGTCTGACGATGGCCTCTGATGAAAGAACCACCGAAATAAATATTGGATAGATTGTGAATTTGGGACTGCAGGTAGGCGATCTGTCCAATATTGTTTGAGATTGCGTAAAGTAGAGATCGCGAAACGTCTGCGCTGTTGAAGGATGCATCTTCCGGCGTAGCAGATCTGCCATCTTCGGCTGCTGATTCGGCCTCTCTCTTCATACGAAAGACTTTTCCAAAGGACGAAGCGATTGTTGTGCTCTTGAGTCCTATCTTGCCATAGTCTGTTCCATAGATGTCGCCAACTAGCATATCGACGTTGGCGTTGTCACCATGAGCGGCTTGTTCAAGCATCTCGTCAAAAGTTCGCGCGCCGGTGAGCAGAGACAAAAGACCCCAGAGAGTACCACCACCAAGCGATGTACCTCCTACTCGCTGATATGATCGCGGCCCAGTAACTTTCAGGAACGAGACACCTGAGCCGATATTTACAAGCAGATACGGATATATATTATCCTGCGGTACGACGAAGTGCATGGGATCTGTTTCGGAGTAGGTAAAGACCTCACGTGGAATCTCGGTTATAAAGAAGTCAAGTCCTGGAAAAATTGTCAGCTAAAACGCCCTTGATAGCGAATAGAACCGCTCACCAATGATGAGACATTCCATCTCATCCTCCTGTGACACATCCACTTCGAGTGCGGCTCGAATTTTGTCATAATACTTGTAAGCGCCACCACCAGTCGCCATTACACATAACTCTCCCGGTTGTGAGCCATTGACAAGCTGGTTGTCACGCAGATGCCGCATGAACTCCACACAGTCATCAATGCGATCTGTTTCGAAGCTTTGAAAGTTCAGTCGGCCGCCAGGATCCGTAGAATCAACTTCGCGAGAGAAGTAGACGAGCTTTATAAGCGA